TTGACTATGAGATTTCTTTAAAAGCACTGATAGTGCTTAATTTGGGCATAAGAATACGAACATTGTATTGATTAAATTATGATTGTAATATATTAGTCTTTAATGGCATATGAACTCAACGCATTTCATCAAATCAAAACAGCTCTGACGAGAAGAGCATTGTATACGTTTAATTTGCATGTGAAAAATTTGCTGTGTAAAAGTAAATGCTTGTTACACCTTATTAAAAAAATAATTCATGATTAACTTTTGGAATTTTTGAATTTGAATCAGCAAACAACAGAGAAATGGAGCTTTATTTGCTTCATGTAGATTTATTAAGCAGAATGTATTGATTGAAGTGGGCTGCTGTTGTGGTGTATGTCACCTAGCGGTTGTGTCTTGCACCGTAGCGTTCAAATCTGATCTTGTCTCTTTGCTGCATGTCGTCCCCTACTCTCTCCTGCCAACCCTTCCTGCTTTTTCTTCAGCTGTCCAATCCAAGAAAGGCAAATAAGCCCCACCAAAAAAAAACTTTAAACATGTTCGAGGACACCATTTCGGGTACATACAGACTACATTTACACAAAGACCATTATACAGCACTCTGCCAGAGCTTCTTTGAGTATAAACCTTGGATTTCTCCAATAGAAATGGACATGTTTGATCCACTATGTTGCTGAATGTAAGTGCACTCAGGATTTATACCGATGCTATTTAAAGAGTATGTCTTTGCTCTCGTACAGAAGGCTTTATCTAATTATCTAAAGAAAATTAGATAAAAATTATCTAATTTTTCAGTGAACAAGATATTTAAATATTCCACAAACAGGCGTTCAAATACTATACGTGTGGACTGACTTCATTAATACATCCAGTAAGCTGTCCTTTATTGTTTATACAAATGGAAAGCAAACTCAGATTATCGTTCAACTTTAAAATATATAGCATCATTTAGTACACATCAGAATAGAATAGAATATAATAGAATGGTAAATACCTGATTGTCTCTCCTTTGCATAACTTATAATGATCACAATAGAACAGGGACAAGTGATTTGCCATAAATATTATTTTTAGCACAAGGTATTCTGTGCGTTTTTCCTGAAGGCAGCGGCTGAAAAAAAAAAGTGATGCAAAGGATGGCTGCTGTCCTCTAAATTGTGTACACTGAAGCGCTGGACTGATTTCTCAATGTGTTGATTTACTGTATATATTATTCCAAAACTGTAAAATGTAGCAATCTCCAAGGTGGATATATTGATAAAAACGCAGTTTCTCTGATTGCCACTAGAGGTTGGTTAAAAAAGTCAGTCAATCCTTATGAAACCCAACATTGAAATGCCACATTTTGCACCTGGGGTAAAAAATTTCACTGTGTTGTGCAGAAAAAAATGGGTTTGGTGTCTACTTTTATATAATATCAAGTACAAGTTTCACATTCTCTTTTATAGCTTGTTTAACCGAAACTAAGATTTGTCAATCAGTCACAATCTCCATCTGTGGGACCATTAAGGTGAGCTTTCCAATAAGTGAGCCAATGAAAAAGCCTTGGGAAAGGTCTTTACAGCTTTGATAAGGTAGCGTTTGCCAAGCCAACCACCTGCTTATCTCAAGCTCCAACTTGTAAGACTCATCCAGATATGGTCACCTGTTTTTTGCCAAGAAAACCTCGAGAAATGTTGAGATTTATAGGCCTTGTGGCTACCTCATGAATAGGTGGATCACCTCACATTTTCTATGATATAACTACAGGACTGTCGCTACTCACTCTGAGTAAAATGTTTTGACAACTTTGGGGTTCTTTTGCACTGAAATATATAGATTTTCCTGATCTCAATGATGATTTTAACAATCTCCTAACTTTTCCAATAGCTCATGTTCAAACCTTTTACTTATTGAGTAAAATTGCTTGAAATACAAAATGCTAATTGGGTTTGTTACCATATAGTGATTCAAACTGACTTTGGTTATACCCTTACTCTTTAAAATGCCACGAACAGGTTAAATTATTTGATTAGAAGTGATATACCAGTATTACAAACATTATCACATAGATTGCTGTGACGTGCTGTAGTGTTGTTTGTGTTTTTGCTTTGTCTCTGCCTCCTTCTCTCCTGTGTGCTCCCTAGGTGTTGCTTCTCAGCCTCAGAGTGCCCAGCCACACCTGTGGCAAATTAGCAATCAGAGACTGAGGTATAAAGAGCAGGAGAGGAGGCAGCCAGTTGCCAGTGGATCATTTGGATGTGTGTGTCTTGACTTTGTGCATTTGGGGGGGGCCTAAGTGTCCTGGGGCCCCAAGCAGTTGCCTGTCTTGCCTGTTGACAAGCAGGGCCACTCTTCAGGGTTAACCCTGGGTTTTCATGTTCCTTCTTACCTGAGTATATTGCCCTGTTCTCGAGTTATGCCTGTTTGTTTTAACTTTTATTTAAGATTAGATCGGCTTCTATTTCGTCTGTTTTGTGGAGGAAACTTGTTTTGTGTTGTACATTTTTCCTTAATTTGTTAATAAATTATTTTAAACTTCGCTTATATTTAGTTCCTCCTTCCTTTTCCTGGGTTTTAATCTATTGTTACTCCCCTCATCCCCTAGCCATCTCGGGCAACAAGTGCAAAGAAAGCATATTCCCATTAACCTAAGTTGATGTTTTTGTCCCATGCCAAATGGAAAACATAATCATCTTGACATCTACTACCATCAGTGTTCGTGTTATCATGTTAGAGCTCTGACGTAAGCATTGAGCTCAGACCACAGCTGTGTCTAAAAATAGACTTAAAGAAAGGCCGGCATGGCTTCTTAATACCATTGTTTATCATGTAAATCACGCAAACCTTTTTTTTTTTTTTTTTTTAAGAAATCGAAATTGTCCGCATAAATTAAAAAATGTTAAAATAACCAGGCTCTGTGCTGACAAAGCAAATCCCAAAAGGATCTTGCTCAGTGTAGAACGTACTGAAATTACAGTCTCCCTTCCCCTTACCCTTTGCAGTTCCATTATACATTCACACAATATATTCATTGTGTTGTGTCCTTACTCCCAGAAATAAAAGAATGTCTACACACTTTAAATGAATTAACATCCCTCTTTGGTCGATTAAAATTATGTCTTCGCTTGAGACAAAGCTCTCAGTTTGCCTCGTTAACACAAAGATGTTTTCCTTTAGTTTTTGTGCTCTTCTTTTGCAAAATCCTTGACATTATCTCGCGATTCACATCAGCCGCGTACGCTGTGCTGACAAGCAATGACAGCAATGAGTGTTGCGGTGAAGCACAAGGTACTTGGTCTTAATGAGCTGCCATAGAGTCTGAGCACCCTTCCAACTGTGAGATCTCTCATCTCTGAATTCTTCTCACGACTTCTCCTTGTGTCTGCTGTCAATTTCTGTCTGTGCTTGCTTATCTGCTTCATGGAGTCTTTTAAAAATCCCATTATGGTACTCTTTTTTTGGGGGGGGGGGTTTCACCATTCAGTTAAACAGACCACATAAAAGCTGCATGTAGCACCTCGTCTACAGTCCATTTTCACATGCACATTTTTATCCATTTGCAACCACACCTTTCAACAAACACCTGTCTCCATCTGTGGCCATTTGTTAACCTGTGGGGGAAAAGCTGTGCGAAATAAGTGACCTTGTCTCTTTTGGCCTACTTTATCAGGAGCGCGCAATAGAGAGGGTCCACTAATGCACAATAATCCTTCCACACAATGACCCCAATCCCTTAAATCTGTCAATAGGGAAGCTGATGCTCTAGATTAGAGATCTTCTGTAATAATACTGACGGCCTCTATCCATCTTGTTGTTTGTAAGACATTATCACGCTGTGCATGACATACAGACTTCACTCCATGCACAGTAGCCCTCGCTGTGTTGTCTGTGGTCATGTATTACAGTGCATTATTACCAGAAATCATTTAGTTGGACAAATTCCTCAATATGCTGTTTCCAAACCACTCAAACCAAACTTCCTGTTTGTCCAAACCTTGCATAGTTGTGTAAAACTTTTTTCTTTTTTTTTTTACGGTGAGAGATCAATAGATGAACCGGAGTGAAGTAAACATTCTGGAAGAATCAGAAAGGCTTTATGATATCAGTGGGAAAGCACATAGAGACGTATTTTGTTACTTTTTGTAGTCAAACTGTGAAGCTTTTATATTTAAATCAGTACAGTCAGAACTTTTGAGTTCAGCATTTTGTGGTCCTGAATGATAGAGCGGGCCTCAATAGATGCTGTTGCCATGATGTACCACAGAGACAGCTTTGAATCCCTGCTTATCTCCGAGGGCAGTTTGTTTACTTTTTCTGCTGCTTCTGGACAGATAAATCGACCTGAAAGAGCAAAGAATTTACACCATACGAAAAAAAAAAACTCTCGTCCCCCCCCCCCCCCCCCCCCCCCCCGTAGGTAGAGAATTTGAAAGAAAGGTTATTAAAATAGCTTTTTATCAAACCTCTCAATCCACCTGATGCTGTTGTGCAGCAAGGGGATTGACGAGGCTCGCCTTCATATCCACAGCTGCCAATTCCTGAGGTGCAGAGCATCAGATTACCTGGGTTTCTTTAAGCTACATCACAGCTCCTAGAATGTAATTTTGAGAGGTGTAGCTGAGGTCACCTTAGAGACACAGGCAGGGGGATGGAGAAGAAGAAACACAGACAAATGAGGCATGAGTTATCATATGCTAGCCTTGAACATTGATAAAAAAAAAATGCTTGTAATTCTCTTGGGATACCGTCTCTTTCTATCTCCCCTCTCTGTATAATAGTCATTTCCTGCTCGAGCTTAGCTTCCGAATATTGGCAGACAATTCAATAATGCCTGTTTGATATTTCGCTGAATGACATCAGCCTTAAATCACATTGAATAGTGATTAAACATAATTAAATCCCCCTGATACCTAGCAGAGCTTTAGCCTTTAATCCAACCCATTCACTGTGCTGCTTTCATATGAATGGGTACTTCACTGTTTCAAGGCCCAAAGACAATCATTGAATTACACTGAATTGCAACAATAACAACGTTATCCATTAATTCTTTATTGTAAGAATTTCAAAGGAAATACACATTTTGGTTTAAAAATGTAACAGAGAAAAGGCTTCATCCTGTTTCATTCACACATGAAAAGTCTTGGAGCTGAATATGTATTGCTCTGTGTCAAGAGACTAAGATTAGACATTTGTTACAGATTGTAGAACAGAGCCCCCAGGAGAAGCCTGACGCCCAAGGTAACTTTGTTAAAAGAATTCAGAAACAATGTCCACTTGCACAGGTTGAACTCTGCACAGACTATATTTGCATAGCGCGCATTTGTTATGAATACATATCCAGTGAGCCCGAGTTTGACAGATCACTCCACAAAAAAACGTACAAGTAATAAATGTTGCATGTTTCTCTGACAAATTGCACAGACTCCCCAGGTAATCTCGGGAGGAATCGTAGAAAAAGGGTACAAAAGGCTGGAAAAAAGAATAGAATTACCTGCACGAAATAATCCCTCATGTACTGCATTGTACCCTGACAACTAGAAATATCTGGAGCCGTTCCTACGGGTGCTGAGGAATAGTACAAAAGTTAAAGGTTATGAAAATCTATTTGTTTTAAGAGTTAGAAATGTAGAAATAAGTTATAGTATAGATATATGTCTATTTACAACATCACATACACAAGAATGTAGCTTTTATGTTTCCCTTGATTGGTACAGCATAACATTTTTTTATTTACAAGCTTCAACCAAGCAACTTATTTAATAGAAAATGTCCTCAATTTGAAATCAATGAATAAAAGTAATTTATATTTTATAAAAAAAATCTTTTTCTTTAGACATTCTTTGCCATTAAATGATGTGTATGTACACTAGTTTGCTCTATCTCTTTCTCAAATACTCCAATGAGCTCACTGAGGCTCTCCAAGAGGTTTGACTACAGGCCAAGGCATGTCAGGCAAAGGTGTATGGGGCTCCACTGGGGCCGGAGTTTGCTGGGCCTGCTGGCTGGCCCAGTTTAAGTCCACACCGTTCTTCTTCAGTGCAGCCAAGTGCTTGATGTCCAGGGTGGTGAAAGTGGTGAACTGGACTTGGTTGCGCTTACTGGTTGGGGAATGAAGCGGCTCGCAGCGATGGGGTCTAGCCAACAAGGTGGCCGAGCGGTTCGCCATGGGGTCTATTGCTTTTTTCTGGAACTGCTGCTGAGAGCTTGACCTGCTGCGGCCAAGGGTTGCAGTTCGTTCGGGGACACTGGTAGTGATCACAGTAGGCAGGGCGTGTGTGTGGCCAATGGAGTCAACAGAATGACGCGGCTCCAGAGGATGATGTGGCTCACGTTGAAGCGTGGACACTTGAGCTGGGGCGCATGGAGGGTGGGTGTTAGCTTGATTGGTAGTCCCCAGCCAAACCCAGTCGTGCTTGTGATCCTTTGGGACTCCAAGGGGTATCAGACCTGCCTGGATAGGTGTTTTATTGTTGCGGAAACAGAGGTTATATGAAAGACAGTTGAGCAGAAACGCTAAGATAGCTATACAGGAGACCCCAACCAGAGCGTATAAGCAGATTTCCAAGTCCGACATGGCTTTGAATGTCTTAATCAAGTCACTCTCAATAACTTTCGGACTTCTTGGTTTAGGAGGAGGTTCCTTCTTGGGTGTCCTGTCTGCTTTTGGGATGTCTTTGTTGGTGGGTGAATTGGGGTTGTCGAGCATGTTTCCAAAGCTTTTCTTCTGCCCTTCTCCTTTACTGACTAATCCCACAGTTGGAACTATGGGTCTGGAAGTGCTGAGAGGTGTATTTAAAATGTTTTTGGTTGTAGTTGCAGTTGAGGGATTGACAGCAAATGTGGAACTTCTTGTAGCTCTGGTTGTAGTTCCCATCCACACAACATGTGGTTGCATATTTCTTGTTGAAACTGTGGTTGATGTGGTCAATTCCACCAGGCTGGTTCCTTGCTGAGCAGGTGCTGTGCTTCTGAACAACCACTGATCTATTCCGGTGATTGCACGCTGTGACGTCACTGTTGTTTTAAGCTCACCAATCATTTCTGATGCACCGTCATTAAAACCTTTGTTTCCATCCATTCCGATCCCATTTCTACTTCCTCCAACGCCTCCTGGAGCTACGACTCTGCCGCCACTCTGGAAGTTGATCCTGAAGAGTCCACTGCCCACTGCCAACTTGCTCTTTCGCTTGGACTTCTGGCATTCCTCACAGATCCTCAACTCCACTCTCACCACTGCCCCTCGGCCATCACCTTCCCCTTGTGCAACTACAAACGTGGACTGGGGAGTGCGGCGGACTGTGGCCACTGCTTCATCTGGGGTAGAGACTGTCAGAGAGTAGATACTACGGTCAAATAGGTCCAGAGGGGCGACAGTACCATCGCTGAACTGAATCCAGCAGCTGACCACTGCCTCCTTAAGAAGAAAAGAAAAGTAGAACGGAAAGAATCAAAGACAGGTCAAAGCAAGAAAAGGTGAAAAAAGGACAGACTATGATAAACGAGCATTAAAACGTTAACGTGTAAAAGCAGGTTAATGTGTAAAAGCACATCAATATTCCCTGCATGCCTTCAGTGAGAGCTAAAATCCCATGATTGTTAATAACACTAAATTGCCTTTGCTAATCACTTTGTGATTAAACTCAGTAGGTTGCAATTGTGTCATAATTCTCAGAATTAGTACCAAATACAATTTAACCAAAATGCATAAAGAGGGTATAATAAACTTCATGGTCATTGTAGGTCAAACTAAGAGCAGTATTAGCCATTCCAATCACATTAATACACAATGACCTACTTCCTGTTGCTAAAGTGAGCTACTGGGCCATAGCCCTAACCCATATATTGGATTAGGATTCATTATGAATCACCCTGAGCAGAACATTAACAGCCGGGCCATGAGCCACACAATTAGCTGGTCATCTTGCACTGGCATGGTTCTAATAGTTTGTTATTGACAGGGGCAGCAGCAGCAGTGGCAGTATACTGTAGGTAACAGGAGCTGCCACTCCAGCTGCTGTGTGGAAGGCCTAATTGCTGCCCCATGCCTGTGTCAGAGAGCTGGTTTTAACTGGGCAAGCTGCCATGGCTAAATGTGCAAGTGAGCTTTTAAACTGATCATCTGGGCACCCTGTGTGCCTCTCCCACTCTCTCACACAGCACGGTAGCTGTAGATGATGGTCAGGGCTGTGAACACGACGAGTTCTCATACAGAGAGGCACAGGAAGGAAACACAAATGTGATTACTCCCTTCAGGTAATTGTTGTGTAAACCTGCACTTTTATGGCCAATCTTGTGAAATTGAGTGTCGAAAAGTTTTTGTTATCTACTTAACACAAGATACGTTTCCGTCTGTTTTGGGCTGCTGTGGTCCTTGTTAACTGGGCTCTAAGCAGCAGCATCCTGGTGCAGAAGAAGCTGACACACAACTCAATGTCTCTGTTTTTGAGTTATGAGGTTGTTTTTAAGGTTTTATGTGCAACCCCACTTATGTATCCAATCAACTTAAAGGTTATTTGATGTTTTACTGCGTTTTTATTTTCCTTAATATGTGATGATGATGATTTGGATATTTGGTTTCATTGTGTTGCTTTGAGTGTTATTTTTTAAGGATTATCTTGGGGCTTTGTAAGCCTTTTATTTTGTGACGGAACAGTGAATAGAGTCAGAAATGGATTTAACAGAGAGTGGGGAATGACATGGAGCCACAAGTCAGATTCTAACCCGGGCAGCCCACTTGGAGGACTATTGCATATACATAAAGGGGGCGCGCGCACTAACACCTAGGCTTCCGGTGCCCCCCCAGTTGCTGTGTGTTTTTGAGCTACTTACATTGATCATGTGCCTACATTATATTCATACTGGTCATTTGAAAACCTTTACAGGACCCATCTCTACCATTCTCTGACCAACGTTTTGTATTTGCCCCAACCTGAAGGGGGGCAAATACAAAACGGTGGGATTACATGTCACATATCCAATTTTTAAAAGTCTATAGCCCTGAAGAAATATCAATATCACTAACCCCTCTGAGTGTCTCTATTCAATAACTGCAGCAGAATTAATTAAAAAAAAAAAAAAAAAGTCATGCTGATAGATGCAAAATGTCCCCATCATGTCTTTAGGTTTTAAAAAGGTTTATAGGTAGATCTGGATATCACCTTAGTAAAGGAGGTAATGTTTCTTAGTCCAAACTTGAGAATAACAACATGTTCATTTTTCATCACAAACCACCTCCTCTATGATTATCCTCAATGATAAGTGTCATGTTTTACATTTTACAGACTTCTTAACCCACTTGACTTTGAATTCATTGAAAATAGAACTTTAAGAGGAACCCAGTGGTGAAATACAAGTCTAACACCTGATTGGCAACGTGATAATAATAAAAAGATTCTCAATATTTTAAGCATTCAAATGATTTTTTTTTTAATTCAACAACTATTCCACTGTTGGGTTACTCCAAGGATACAGAATTGAATAGATCTGAAGGGGATTTTGTATTCCAAGGGCTGCAAGTTTTGCCATTTTTGTCTGCTTACCACTGATGCCTTTTTCAAACTGTATTAGGAAATAAACTTTGCATCGAACATCAAGCAAGATTCATTTCAGTAATACTTATTAAAATGCACTTACAACATTTCATTTCTAAGCAATTTACTTTTTTTTAAATCTCAAAGTGCTAAGAAGAGTTCACCATAAGAAGTGGTAAAGTTTCAGAACTTGGCTGCACCGTAGAAATTATTGTGTTGGGAACTTGATACAAGAGAAATGCTGATGAAAAGCATGGGAAATTAATCAAGGATCAGAAATAAGATTCATTATAAATTAAATCCATCTCCAACTATGAGATGCTGACATTTCCCTCTATTTCCCTATTCTTATTCCAAGTTGCATCATTTCTCTTGAAGCTACTTCCTACCTTCCCTTTAATAATTTGTATCAAATGTAACCTAACAAATCAAACTGAATGTTTCATTGAATGGATTACTATGCCAAACACTGTATCTGCTTGTAGCACAAGTACAGATACACAGCATGCAACAAAGTTGTGCTAATACTTGTCACAATGATCCTAAGAAATAAACTCTCGCCCTCTCATAAGAAAACAAGGGCTATTAAAAAGGCTTGTTTTGATATCAATGTATTAATTGCATAGAAATTACAGGTACAACAATTTCGTCAGACTAATCACACTCCATTGTCCTCTTAGATCTCACATCACACTGTGAATGTATATTCTAAGGAAGGATTAAGATGACATATTGTAAGCCAGGATTTTGTTGTTCAGACCTATGCTAAGGTCTATCACATTTTAATTGACATCTGCCTGGCCGATTGGCGTAGTTGGCCTCGCACAATACTTTTTGGAGACCTTTCTCTGCTAACTATTGTGTAAAAAAAACACCCCAAATTGCATATTTAGGAGATTGTTAAGAATGAATTTATTTAATCCCTGCATGTTAACGACCAACACTTTATAAAACGACCAGGGAAATGCATATTTTCAGATGTATTGAAAGCAGCTCATTAGAAGAGAGGAAAAGTTTATTTGGTGAGGCAAAAAAGAATCACTTAACAGTAGAATAGATACAGCTTAGCACACCACAGGAGGTCTTATCTTTGATACGTTATCACGGGATAGAGCAATCAGAATTAAGGATTTGTGTTTTTTCTCTTATGTAAGCTCTGATTCAATCTAGTCTGTGAGTCTGACACTGACAGGTGGCCTTGCGGAGATGGATCGGTGTTTCAGAGGTGTGAGATATGGGGGGAAATTCCTGGTTATACCAACCAAAATACCATTTTTGGAAAATCCAGATTATATAAAATCTGATTAAAAAAAGTCTGGATAGCAAAAAAAAAAAAAAACATTGTTTCCCAAATCTGATCAAAGCTATTTTTGGGATGTGTCTAAAATGCAATTCCAATTGGATTTGTACAAATGCATCTCCCTCAAGATGCTCTGAACCCTCAAATTAGATCTCTAAGCGTCTCCTGCATCACGCACAACACATAACACTAATGTCAAATCCAGAGTGAAGGCAGTGCACCAAAGCTGCTGCAGCAGAGGGTCCTTCTTCTTAGACATCTATGGGCCTTCTGTGTTACCAAATCTCTGATGGAAAGGGCAAGTTTTGTACCATTCAAATTGTTAAGAGGGCAAAATGTTTTTTAATGCTCCAGCATTGGAAAGCCATGTCACCAGTGAACTATTGTTTACCGACAACTGTGCTATAAACATTGCAACAAATGCAAGAGAGAAGTCCTATGTGATTACTTGGACAGCAGTCTGCCTTTAAGATCTTATTTAAGAAACAAAAATCTGATTGTCATGCAGCTTGTATAAAGCCCTTTTGAATGAGGAGTTTCCATACAATAGAAATAAGGACCGTTACATTATACACAACATTTCATGTCACGATTCGTTTTTTTGATTATTACTTGGTTTTCTTTCTCAAACCGAATGGTTGTCACATTCTGTTGAATGGCCCTTCACACATTTTGCTGTGAGGCTCAAAATGAGTTACTTTTAAACTAAAAGGCATAAAGGACACAAGTACCATCATCACAAACTGCAAAGTACCTCTCTTTAGGCTTTGTGCTTTACAATTTTCCAGTCACTTACCTGTTTGAGCTGCGTGATCATCTCCCGCGTGGTTGCCGTGGCGACGATGGCCCTGTTGCTCCCCGGGCTGAGCTGCAGGGACAAAGAGAGTCCAGAAACCAACTGTACCCCCAGCTCCGTCACACTCACTTTGTCATCCACCACAGTGATGATCCTCTCGGCCAGGACTGCAGACGTCAGAGGGGACACCACCTGAAACAAGTTAAACAAAATCTCATCCAAACTGCAAATGGAAAACACCCAAACACAAGCACAAACACCCGCACACATCATCATGGCTCACCTGGACAGCAGTGGTGCCAACAGCCCTTCCCTGCAGCACAATCCCATCCTGCACTCTGGCTACTTCAGGGTCTGTCACTTTTACAGAATTGCGAACAAGATTGGTCACATCTACCTGTCAATAATAAAAGACCAACAAGGTTTCACATAATCATACTGAATCTGTACCAAATATTTTACACTTATATTCCATCCAGTTCGCTCTTGTTACTTTTTTTGAAAATAAAAATTCTATTCTAAGATAAATTTACCTTCCAATCAGGACCCAGGAAGTACTCAACAGGCTCCACCCCAGTTAGCAGGTCAGGCAATATCTCAGCATTGGCCTGGGCAATGAAATGTGTTTGCACCCGGAGTGTAGAGTGCTGGTACTGCAGCATGCAACCCCTGCCCTTCCTCATCTCCTCCTCTTCGTCACTGTCCCATGTGGACCTGACACACAAAGGTACCGAGACAAAATAGGTCACACATTTTACAAACGTTTCTGAGAATAACATCAAGAAACAAGATTTTGTTTTGTGCCTGCAGAGAGAGAGAGTTAGATTATGTCTGCTGACATGTTCAAACTGAATATGACGCTGCAGTCAGGGAGCAGTAAGCCACTAGATGTGTGGAGTAACTGCTAGCCTTGTTCTGTCCAAAAGGTAACATAATGTGCATATCAACAGCACCAAACAAGGTAATACATGTCCTCAAAATAGTCCAGCTTATACTGTTGTTTCTTTCATGCTCTTTGGATGGTTCCAGGCTGGCTAATGCAGCTAGTCTTTATGCAAAGATAAGACTGCTGTAGCTAAAAACTGTAGCCGCATTTCCAAGTTGGAATGGCAACTAAAAGCATTTCTCAACAAAGCTTTAAGAAATGTCTGAAATATGGCACTATGGCCTGTTGGCAAATCATAGACATTAATTTCTCCTTATTCATCGCTCTGAACCACAAGTATTAATCATGATTTATAGAGACTTTTTCTTCCTTGGATACTGTTTGTAAGAAGACTTTTCAACTGAATAATTAGCTTTTCCTGCATGTAAGGGCGATTTTGGAGGGATGGAGGAAAATCTTGCAAATCTCAGGACTGGGTTTTGGGAGCTTACAAATTTCCCTACTTTAATTTGAAAATCTGAGAAACAGTATTTGCTGTTAACCTTTGCTTGATGCTTTTTTTTCCTTTTTGGACAAAAGTGAGATGATGAAGCCAAAACAAAAAAATGGAGAGCAGCAGTGTTGTTGCTGATGCCGTAAAGGCACAAAACATTTACTGAGTGACCTTTTCTTTTAAATGAATTTAAGGCAAATTAAAAAGGTTTACACAGTTGACCGGTTTATTTGAATGTGATAGTGGTTAAGCCTCTATAAACCACCCTTAAACCCCTCAGCAATAATCATATAATTATCAAAAGCACAGCTGGTCTGCCACACACTGCACTGCAGGTATGCTGGAGGGCTGCTGGATATGTTTTTCACACGGCAGGCAGGGAGCCTTCTGTCAAGAGTCACAGTCCAAATAAACATCATTATTATATAGCCTAAGGTGAGAAGTTAGCATGTGATAGGGATGCTACTTGAATATTGTGAGTGTTACTTAACACTAGACAGCATACAACTTTTTCAAACTCATGGAGGTTATCAGTACTGTATCTGCAGGGAAAAGACTGCACCTATTCCAGATTATTTCTAATAGCTTATTTGTCATTTTAATTAGACTAATGAGTCGTATTAATCACTTTTACTTAACAGTTTCATCAATTCTCTGTTGACCCGTAAGTGCTTACTCTGGGGTCGCCAGGCTGCTTATTATCAACATCCATACGTTATCGTCAGTACTGCTCATTACACTCTGGTTGCAAGTGTTTATTTCACACTTCTTTGAAACCAAATGTAATATATTAAAAGAAAATACCTGAGAAAATCAGGTATCAGGTAACATCAGAAAAGTTGAAAAACTATTCAACTATTTAAAACTTAAGGAAATGAAATGAACTTAAAGGCCACATATTATGCAAAAAAACCTTTTCAAACACAAATATATGTCCCTAGTTTGTCTACAAACCCCCAAATTATGAGAAAAGTCCACTCCCTCTTTTGCCTGCTCCACTTTTCAGAAAATGAGTGCTTAAACATGCCGTTTGGAGATTGTCCCTTTGTGACATCACAAAGGGCAGTAATCCCTCCCCTAGGTGGGTGACACTCCCACAGCTAGGTGTTTGTTCTGCCCTCTGAGTCTGCCTTCTCAACGTAAACAATCCAGCATGGTGCAAGAAAGCCCAACCACCCAAGCCCTTCCATAGCCCTTGGTCAGACACAGCTCATTTGCATTTAAAGGTGTAGACACAGAAACAGCCTGTTGTGAGCAGGGCTGAAATAGAGGAGTTTATAAGCATGATAAAATACAGGATCAGAGAGGATTTTAACAAGGAACTTCACAGACATATTTTGAGGAGCTCTGAGACTTACTGAAACTGGTTGGAAAGGAGTATAATATGTGACCTTTAAGTTTTGTTAACGAGACTAAACATCTAAAACCTGTCTGTATTCCTTGGTTATATCTCTGTATCTTATGTGCACTATATGTTTAATATTACAACTACATGCATGGCACAGGTAATTAAGTATTTTTTCCTGAGTTGGTACCGGCCACTTCAGTCACCACATCTGACCTAACATCTGTTTATGTACACATACATGTGTGTGTATTGAATGTTTGGGGTGCATGAAGGCCAACAGAAGAAAAACTAACAGTCCATCAGAAAGCCATCATCACTGATATTGAGTTTAAAGTAATGACTGTACTGTAAGTATTGAGTGGAATCCTACTAACCTTTATCTGCAGGGCAACTATGGGGGATCTACAGAGTGCAACCCACTCTTGCAGCAAACACAGATATGATGTTTCTACAGTATGACTGATAGTTGTGTACAGCTGAATCCACATCTTTTTTTAGACTTCTTCAACAAAAACATTTTTTTATGAGCCTTATAAAGATGCAGTATGGTTTATTTTATAGTTAACTCAGTGCACATTTGACAACTGATGCTTTCTAATTGTAATGATCGCTACAGGATCAACTATGCCACTAATGTTTTAACTGGGGAACAACACCTTGAAACACATTTCATTTGATATCAAAGATTCAATCATATTTTTACCTTCTTACATTAAGCCCTTCAACCAGAGCTAGTGAACTCAATCCACCTGACTTGTACGAACTTTTTTTGACTTTGAATGATATGTCCCCCGGTCTCAAGATCAAAAAAGGAAAAAAATAATTAAAAACAAGATGCAGGGAATCAACACTTCATTTTCTGACAACAGAGAAACTTTAAATTGATGTGACAGGGAAAGGTGCCTTTGGCGGTTCAGACCAGCAAACAAGTCTCAGACAGTGTCATGGATTATCTCAAAATTCTGTAATTGGAAAAAGGCAGCAACGTGCAATACCTTTGACTCAAAAGTTTCAAAAGTAATTGCATCAACTTCTAAATGTTTTAATTTTAGCTTTGAGTAGGACACTACAAGGATGGGGCTAGTGTAGACTCTGACAGTGTAGAGTTGACTGGCTCACTTTGCAACATGTCAATGAAAAAATGTTGTATCAAAGATTCATTGACAAAAATGATCCACATCTAGTATGAACTTTTTTATACTTGAAACAAAATGTTAAAGACTTGCACTTGGCTTGGGACTTTTTGGTCTTGACTCAGGGTTCTTTACCACTTGAGCTCTACAAGACAATGACTTTGTACCAACTTTGTTTTTAACGTCTGTGGTTACAGAAATGTTTGAAAAATGTACTAACTTACCTACAATGTGTCACATGTTTTTTAATAAGTTAATTATAATGAGCTGCATCTCTGTTCTCAATTAATAGTTTAAAACTGAATATATGGAGAGACCGATGGTGTAGCGGCTGGTTCTCGCACCCTATGTAAAGATGCTGTTGTTGGCAGCCGCCTGTGGCTCCTTTACCGCAGGTTATTCACCACTCTCTCTCTCTCCCTGTTTTCTGGCTCTGTCAACTACCTTAATAGGCATTAAAAGCCCCAAAATAAGTCTTGCAGAGCCTGTAGCAGGGAATGTATAGCACTGCGACTGTTTCATTTTTAAAAATGGTTTAGCCCTACCTTCTGTTTCCAGTAGTAACAGGGACCCTCCAGCCCTTTATCTGGCTGAGCTCGGGGTCGGCCACATCAATGCTCAGGGGCAGGCGAGGCATCCAGACACTCATCTCCAGCTGGGCGCTCAGGAATCCGTAAGTGAAGTTGAGCATCATCCTACTCCTCCCTCTTTTCTCTTTCCCATTTACATAGACATAATCGCATCGCTCTGACACCTGGACGAGACACAAGTAGAGAGACGACGAAGCGGAAAGGTGAATGGAGGACACATGGGAAATATCCTTGGTTTTGATTGTGGAGCAAAAAACTGAGCATGACGGCTTTGTTTCCTTCTGTCAGTCTGTTTTTGGAAAAAAAAAACTTATTTATGACCTTCAAAGTTTAGATTCACTTCATTTAACTGTAGAGTTGGTTTTGAGCTGTCGCCATTAAAAGCCCAGTGGAAAATGAATATAAAGTTTTAGTGAGTACTGACAAAGAGAGGAGTAGGGAGAAGAGAAGCACCAATACAAATAAGCTAAAACCAAATAGACATACACTTGAAATTCATTTTCCTCTACTTGGAAAGTCTAGCCGGGGAATGGCACAATGTTTCTGTTTATGTCATGTAAATTCAAGGCTGCAGTCTCTATGAAACAGCTCCAGAATATAAATCAGCTTGACTTCTTCCTGTAGAGCCATGCTGCAGGTGGGAGCACTGCAGTCCCCAGCAGTCAGAGCAATGAGGTGAGACACAGCGGTTGGTGTGTTTTATTTCAGATTGGAGGCCCTATCTCCACCGCCGCCTCACTTATCTTAAGAAACCAGTGGCTCCACAGAGGTAATTGGAGGGCACTAGACTGGAGAATAGAGTGAAGCACTGGAAAGAGGGGCGGCGGAAGGAGGGAGGTAGAAAAGTAGAGGAAAATGAAAGGGGGAGGAATTACTTCCAAGGTAAGTCAAGTTGAACTTTGAGGAAGTTGTTGAGGGGTACCAGTTTGTGAAGAGTTTTTCCTGTGATTCAAAAAGGTCTAGACTTAAGTCTCTGATGTCTTCAGCAGCTCTCCAATACAACAAAGACGAAAATGAAACAAAAAATAAAGTATATAATGACTTGAATCATAATCAATATTTCTATTTCATTCTTCATTCTGCAATTTTGATTAATTTCGGCCGTTTATTTCAGACTTTTTTCTTTTAAATTTGGTGTTCAGCCATGCTTGTGTGGGTCTACTGTAGATTAAGAATATTGCATATAAATTAGGTCTAATATGTAAGATATCTACTGAACTAAATTTCAAAACGACCTTACTAAATCATCAGACATTAAGTAAACATGCTGTATTTAATTTCTGGCTTCTCTATCAACAGTGCAGCAGCTACTGTAGTATGTCCTCCTCCTAAGTTTCCATTCTGGTGCATTATGGTTTGTTTTTGTTTTGACCAAGGTAGGCAGTTTAATGGCATCCCACACGGCCGTTTTGGACGCCCCTCGATTTGCCAGACAGGAGACCAGTAATCAGAGCAAACACATCAGGTGTTGCAGCGATGGAAGCAGGAAAACAAATCGGTTCAGATAGAACTGATTCTACCTGACCTAAAAAGCCTCTGCATTTGTGTAATAATCTACACAAACCAGAATAAAATATTGGAGATGCTTTTGAAAATGGAAAGCGGTTAGAACGCAGAAAAGTTTCAAGACTAATGCAGAGCTGGTTGAATACTGAAGCTGAATGTTTTGGGTTTGGACTGGTAATGCAGAGGTGTCAGAGTTACATAATGGTCCTTTAAGAGCAACCATTGGTTTAAGCTGTCTTTCATAGAAGGGACCTGTGCACAAGCTGGCATATATATTTGATATGAGCAGAAATTCAAAACATGAAAACAACAAATGAAAATCATTTAGTTGGTGGCATTGGTCTTAGAGGGAGCAGTAACCATGAGAATGTATGAGACTTTTCAGAGACAATAATAACTTGATTTTGTCTCTGAAATGACAAAAAGTCATGACAAACCTCTCCCCCCCCTCCTCTCTAGTATGCCAAGTTGCACGCTCTTAAGCTCATACACGGCCTCACACGCACACAGCCAGTGACTGCCTTGTCATTTAATGGAAAACAGTATAAGTCCTTTACTGTCCTCCTTCTTTGCCTTTCTGTTCTCGGCCTCCCTCTCTGTGCTCCTACTGCCCCACTAACATGGATCCATTACACAAAGGTCAAACCGCTGTGCTTATGGACTGAGTGCTGGGATCATGAGCTCAGTCTTGAATGCCATATGGAAGAGGCTGCTGAAACACACACACACACAAACACACACACGCACACACTCACAGACACATAAAGGACTGGACCTGTTGAGTACACCACAAACACAACTTCTCACAAACAAAACACCAATCGAACACAGACACACACACAATAATAATAATAAAAACAGCAAACTTGTTTTCTATGCAGAAAAGGATTAAGGATTAATTGTCATTTCTCATTTACATTTCTGAATGTGACAGAAAACTTTAGTGATTCAACATTAAAATCTGTTTTTTTTTCCATCAATATGAAACCAATTGTTGATTTAATATATTATTTATAAGTGCTGTAAAGTTTTCACACACAGTGAATACTGAATGATCAAGCTGCCAACTTCTTTCAGTAACACACTGAGAGAGATTCTTGGACTTAATACCTTTGAGTTTTCAGGGTTACAAAGTGGGGAAAAAAAATCACACTTACTTTGAGTAATTATATCTTATCTTATCACAAAACTTGACTTAATAAAGCACGGGAATAATAATGGATGCTAACTTATTTTTTCTTATTTGACCATTAATGCATGTAAAGTAAATAACAATACTTGTAGTACAAACGCACCAAAACCGATTACAAGTACAACATTTAAGCCTTATGTGGTGTTCTGGTCAAATTGGGGCGTTTTAATAATGAAACAAGAATGAATGTTTTTAACCTGAAACTCCATGGCCTAATCTTATTTTCTGAATTTGTGGAAGAAAAAAAGATCACCGAGTGTGCACACTACAATACCCCCTCACATTTATGTCACTCATAAGGTATTCGGGTCAATTTGACCTGAATATAGACAAGTTCGAACACAGACGGACAGAAATGAACACACGCACACACTGTGCCGGGTCAGTTTAACCCGAACAGTACCAAAGGTTCCAAAAAGTGAACATAATACAATGGTTCATAAAATAAGGAAATCTGTTGCAAGGACTATTTCAAATCGAGATAATGATATCAGTGGATGTAGTCACTAACCTTGAGCACATCGTCCTCTGTAGACCTGCAGCTGGTGAAGTTGGTCACATCAGTGACGGAGCCATCAGCCTCCACAGCCAGAGTTTTCACAGGGACAGACACCATTTTACCCGTCAGCACCGCAGTGTTCAGGATATCAGTGTTCTGTGCACAAAGAAGGGAGGATGAAGAGCAGGTTAGTCCTCTCAGCCGGTATGACACATTTGTACTCACTGTTCTGCTCGATGAACCTGAGGAACAGAGGATTTTGGTTGTAGTGGGGAGAAAAGAACTCACTTTTGGGTTCTTTTAGGTTGAAGGTGCATGGATTAACCTTTCATAGGTTAATTGCTGCATATCATATGTCATAACTTTACAGTTTAAGTTGAATGGCTGCTCGTTCTATACTAGAAGAACTCTTTGAAAATAAGGATTTGGTTGAATCAAACAGAGTTCAAGTTTTCAAGTAAAACAGTGGCTGAAACAGACTGTTTGCTCTTGCAATCGACCCCTCACAGACCCTTAACCTCACCAGATCTCGGAGGTCTGTCTGTGCTCCGCTGAGGTGTGGGATCCTTCCTCTGGCAGTGGAAACAATCACTTAATTCCAGAGGAGGATAGAAAGTGTTCTCTGTGTGATCTGGGTGATCTGGGTGAGAAAATGAAAATACACTTCTACGTGCTTTGTATAATTTTCTGAGATGTCAGCTTTTTCTGCAAAATGTCTGAAGATGGTCCAGATGTGTTTAATACGTCGGATGAAGATGGACTACTGTACTTGTTCACACATAAAGTGTTTCAGCTCGCTCAGTTTGTGGTTAATGCCTTCGAATGGAGCAGGAGGACACTATATTTCTGATTTATTGAAGTTACAGTGAGCACTTAACTGATTTATGTGATTATTCGCCCTGTCACTGTCTGACGTGTGTACTGTATCTCTTCTTTTTCTCTCCTTTCGTTCACTACTCTTCATTATGTTTGTCAGTGTCTTGTAAGCCCATGTGAGCTTTGCACCCTTTAGTGTATGGCACATTGAAATAAATATACTAAAATCCTCATTTTACTGTTTTTTTCTCATTTTGTCTCTTATTTGTAATGAGTTCATAAAGTCTATATTGGTATAGTATCACTATATCTGTATTTCTTCAAGTGTAATACTTTAAGAAAGGGGTTGCAAATATGCCAGGGCTTGAAACCTGCATGACTTGTACTTTGTATTTTACATCTGAAGGAATGTTCTTTACCTGGGAAAGAAGAAAAAAATAGCACTTAATAAAGATGGCCAGTTTCAAGTGATACTATTAAGTATTGAATGCAATACTTAATGTGAGGTGTCCTTGATGCTGAGACAAGTACTGTATATCATACCTTTGAGAGGAGCTGATACATCATCCTAAGGTCATACTGTAATAGATTTTTAAGCCATGGGTTCACTTGAACTTGATTTGATTATTTAAGAATGTCAGGTGAATTTTAAACTGAATGAAGAAACTTGAATATTTCCCCCGTTTTCAGGTTTACTCCGGGGTTCATTTGGAATCGCTTTACACCCACATGTTTGATACACTGCTCGACTGCAGCATCAAACAGTTCAATCATCACTATTTGTAACGGGGCAGAGATGACAGGCAGAGGGTGTTAGCACGACTAACACGGATTGAATCTCTGACAGGGAAGCAAACTTGATTCACTCAAATCACACTGACAATACACTCTCTCTCTCTCTCCCACACTCACGCGCACACACACACACAGCACTCAATAACACACAAACTGGACAGATGTGCTAAAAAACAAACAGTACATGTCTGTCCCTCACAAACCCTCACACACCTGGAGGAAAATAAATCAACTACTGAATTGTATTATCCATACAGTAGACCACCTCCCAAACGCCTTAACCTGATTACATTTCTAATCCTCCAATCCATTTTCCAACCTCATACTGTACATCTTTTTTCCATGCTTAGCACTAGCTTAACCCTCATAGATCCAACAAGTTGCCATCAAGCCGGATGAAGGTTTATCTTAAGACTTTAACTCCTTCCTGCATGTAGATTTACAGCTACTTTACCAGTTTATAAAATGTCTCATTCAGTCGTTCTAATCTATCATAGGTACGGTAGTAGAAGTAGTGAGTCTGTTGGGAGCTCTGGTTGAACAGTGTTTTTCTTCTTTTCTTTTCTTTTTTTTTCCCCGCCAACTGATGCTTGTTGACTAAAACATCAGGCAGATGTTTTCCCGGAAGCTTCATATTCTGAACTCTTGTCGGCTCGACAGCTGCTGACCGCAATTCCAAAAGGACACGTTCCAGTTCAGACTGCGACACTGACCCAAACATAAGCCACCGGATCACAGGGCTAGAACAAAATCAGAGAGCAATATCAGCACTCTGCGATGCTGGCGTGGGCATCACCGAGGGATGCTGACGTCCAATGTGTCCCACAGCTCTGCGGTAATCTCACAGCAGTGATCAAGTTCAGCTCAGATGGTTTTAGCTCTTTTTTAAATCTGCTTCTTCTTTTATTTTTTTTAACATTGTTGTATTTACACTGGCCCGTGGGGAGCCAGCAGTGGGTTCACATCAGGTTGTAACAGCGATTTTGTTGTGCCATAAATATGAATGTCAAGCTATTGCTCAACAACTTTACTTAAAAAGGAAAAAGGGAAAGTGACAAACTCTTACAGAGAAAAAAATGTTGCTTTTTCCTTGTGTGAAACCTCAGTTTCAAATCAAACATCTCTCCTCCAATGATTATATTCATGTTGTCTATCATGAATAAGTCTACTGAAGCCACTATCCGAGACATGCATGTACCAGCCTTCAATTTTCAGCTTGAAGTCTCAGATTGTAAAGAAGAGGGGACAAAAGTTTGCAAAAATTATTAGAAATGGAAGAAAAACTGATCAAAGAGGTGACAAGAGTTACATGCTGACAAAAGTGATACTAACACAATTATTTTAAAGTAGGAACACGTAACTGTAAGATCAGAGTATAATAACAAGTATTTTGTAAAATAAGTATTTTATTTGTGTATGTTGAAAACCAAAATAAAAGACCAGCGACATTGACTCTGTTTTTGCCCTCAATAACACTTTTGATAAAATGTCAGGCACGCATGACAATAGCCCGACCGATTTATCGGCCAGCTGATAATATCGGCCGATATGAAGCATATCCGAGGACTATCGGCATCAGCTGATTTTATCACAGATATGTACCGATATTACTAGATTTATTCACCAGTCAAACATCATTTCATTTGAGTTTCATTGTGTAACAATAGCAGTTCTCTTTCACCAGCAGAGTGTGCTATATGGACTACAACAAGCATTACCGCTCTCCAGAGGGTCAAGCAGTGATGCACGTACATGCAGAGTTAACTTTCCAGTTGAGTGGCCATCTTGTCTTCCTTATACTGTATATCTTTTCCTTAAGTGTTTGATAACTGCATTGGAGGGATCAATTTCATATTGATATAGATTACCAGTATGTTGGTGTCCACATTTTTTCTCCCCAATGTTGATATCTATCAGCCCCTAAAATTCCATATCGGTCGTCCCAGACACTAAAAAAACAACTTACTGTGTGGATAGCAGCATGCAAACAGGTTACCATTTATTAAAGGAGGCCTAAAGAGGTCTGACTTTCAATAATTACAAACAGCAAAGGAAAGCCTTGAACACCAGTGCAAACAAGAGACAGGAATGTCACATTTCTTTACAACAGTTAGTGCACTGTGGATATTCTCTTACAGGTGAAATGACTAAAACAATATATGATGAGAAAATAAGACGATATTATGTCATTAAGTTTACTTATAATGGAAATCATCAAGATGGGTTATTATATAAAACAGTCTTTATTCGAGAAAATAATTACCGATTGTGTTAAGACTGGAAGACGACCTTTCAATGACCTTCTCCTCCCCGCCCCTCCACTTTATGAAGACAGCTAAAGCTACAACAGATCATTTTCAATGCCCTGTTTGGAATTGTAATGGATCGTGTAAATTCTATAAATTCAGCTTGAAACAGATATTGTCCTCACCATGACCAGCGGTGCTAGCCCGACGTAATCTTTCCGAGTGGTGTAGATCCGCATTGTTCCCACATCTTTAATGTTCCCCGGCAACTCCAGACGCCAAGAGATCATCTGACTCTCAATCTGCTCGGACACATCTTTTGGAACAAAGTCGATTTGCAAAACTTCCAGAAGACCCCTGTTCAGAGATAAAAGAACAAAACAGAATATGTTTAAACAAGTCTTGTCACTGTTTATAACAGAGGCAGATTATTCTCTGCCGGATGGGCCACATACAAAAAAAGAGAGTATCACCACTTCTTTAGGCACCACTACACCACTGGCTACACTGTACAAATTAAAGAAAATGAATTAAACCATATTGAATCTAACTAAAGGGATACATGTTAAGTGCAAGAAAACATGAGCTAGCACTTAGCTTCTGCCCACAACAGATCAAGTCTTATAGCAATCACCACCCTTATTTTTCTGTTAGAGTGTTATATTAAGAACCATTGCTGGCACAATATCTATAGTTACATATTTGCCATGTAAGGAATCGTTTTGTTAAGCCACCGTTCAATTTGAAGAAATGTAAAACACAAAACAAGGCAAACATGTTAATTAGCAACAGAATCTCCATGTTTTCCATCGTGTTGAAAATTAGTTTTTCAAACCTTGGTGAACCGCCGTATTTGACATTTTTATAAAAACACAGTCTGGAGTCAAGAGAAAACGAAATCACTTCACCACAGTAAGAGCCGAGATTGGTTGTGTTGTGTTTACCGTCTATGAAATTTAAATATATGTATTGAGACAGTGCCTATGAAAAAAACAAAAGAGAAAGAAATTACTCTGCAAAGAAACTTCGGAGTTTGAAGTCAAAGTGAAGGGAATACACCAGAGGTCTCATTTCCATCAGCAGACGGAGGAATAAGGCGAGAGCGTGGAGGGAAGATTAAGTGTGCTGGCAGAGGCGCGGAGACGAATATTCCGGTCAAAGGATTGTCAGAGAAATGACATGTGATGTTATTTGATGCTGGAAAGAGTGTGTAGGCATGTACCTGCTGGGAGGAACAGATCAAAGGGGAAAGTAAGAGCCGCATCTGAATGGACCTGTGGCACTTTGAAGCAGGAGGGAAACTTTGCGCAGAGCAAAACAATGAACCTCTGCACTACATGGTGAGAACTCGCATTTGATTAAAAAAAAAGTATATATCCTTGGCAGCACCAAGTGTATATACACACTCCCACATTCCTAGAAAAACCTAGAAAAAAATATTCTATCAAAAAGCATCTCAAGGACACATCTTACAGCGGAGGAAGTAATGAAAAGCCTTAAACAAGGTTGTTACAAGTTTACGTTTAAATCTCGATGCCACCTATTTAAACTCTTCTTTGTATCTTCTATTCCGATGTGTGTGCGTCCACAGGCCTTGGACTGTGCTTGAAAGAATAAATTACAGATATGCTTAAATGAGGAAAACATAATCAAGTTTTTTTAACAGCCGATGCTCCAGCCTCCAGGCAGTAGATTCGTGATTCACGCGGAGTTAATTCAGGACTTTAATAAGTTTATGATGTACAATCGAATATATTTCCCAGTGTATGAGACTTTAATAAAAAGTACAGAGGGTCAATGGAACTTCAAAGCTCCACATAAAGCTCACTCATTATACTGACTGTAAAGCACTGTCTTATGCATCATTGTTTAGTTTTGTAGTTTTCCCACTTTAGTATTTGCCTTCCCTGTACATATTGTTTCCACCAGAGTCTTCCATTTCTAATTACCCTGTATGTATTGAGCCTGCACTGTCAGAAGTCGCATACCATTCAAACCAAATATGACCTCACATTGACTGTGTAGTGTGTTTCGAATTCATAGAATGCAATTTTGCGTACGCATGAATCGGTCAGATGTACTCTGGATTGGTCATCATTTTTTATGTGATACAGGAGCTCTCTCATCATACTGAGCTGTATTGCAGCTCTTCAGAATATCCAATGGCAGAGCTGCTAGCCAGCCTATACTCTGTATATTTTATACGCGGTCAAATAACATTCAAATAACTACGTATCTGTATAAGTACCAAACATTTATATTGTTGTTACATTTAATATGCAGCTGGATGCACATGCTAGCCTGGTGTTAGCTTATTTAATCCCTTCTTGTCATGTGTCACAGAGAGGACTTAAGCATGTTGCTAACAGCATTATAACTGTCAGATTTTAAGGCATTATGCAGTATGTACTGTTCGAGCAAGTAGTAAGCAGTGCGTTAGTATGTGGTTTTTTGACACAGCCTCCAGATGATTGATTATAGCATCAAGCTAGCACGCCTGTCAGGCTAGCACATAAACAGCTACGTAGTTATTTGAATATCATTTGACAAAATCTAAAATATATTACAGTATTGTTACTTTAATTTGAACACCACTTCTTGGCCGGCTGGCAAACTCCGGCATTATGGTCTGAAGAGTCGCAATTCATTGTAGGGCGGTTGACAATGACTTTTGAACTCCTACTTATGATTATGGCTAATCTAGTGTACAACCAGGGCCTTCTCACATACACAAAAGTGCATACTGTGCATTCATAAAGCACAACATACTCAATGTGAAGTTATACTTGGTGTCAATAGTATGAAAGTAAGTGGTTTTAGACACAGCCTCTGTTCCTTCCACTCTGTGCCAGTTCATCTAGCCATTCCTTTGTTTCCTGTTTGGATTTCATTGTGGCTCTGCTTGTGATTTCACCTGTGTTCTGTACCTGTTAATGTTGGACCTTGTTGTACCTTTTGTTTGAGATTATTAGTTATGTCTCTTTTTTAACAAATTTATTTCATTAGTCTCCATCTGGTCTTCTATCTTTGTGTATACCCTGAATGAAAAAAAATTGAGCACATACAGTATAAAGTATTGCTAAAACCAAACTAGCAGTTCTGACCATGATGACTCTTAAAAGTGAAACATTTTTACATTTTATGAAATATGCTTTTTAAAAAGAGATGTATGAAAAGATTTAAACCGCCAACAGCTAGCTAACTTGGCCAAACTACAACTGGAAACAAAAGGACAGCCAATGTAGCACTTTTTATTTTTCATATGTGTATTATTTTAATAGATTTGTGTTATAAAAGTAAGAAATAAAAAGAAAACTGTTCAAAACAATTCTTAGAATGTATTTTTCCCTGACTAAAATGATACACACTAGAGACACTGAGAAGTTTTGTGAGAGCTGGAAAGAGAAACATAGAAGGGGTTAATGCCCCCTATTTCCTGGAAATCTATTAGAGGGGGACTTTAAACCGCTGGACGTATCATCACTTCAAAGCACTGTGGTGTGAGTGAGTATGTGAGTGTGTACGTGTGGACGCTGTATGTTTGTGTGTGTGTGTTAGCTCAATGCAAGGCACACGACTTGGAATATCTCTCCTTCTTAATCTCCCGCTCTGAACGTGCAAGCGCTTAAGCCCGGATAACGTAGCCATGATTATGGATGATTACGGATAAGTGGGTCGGACGGACCGAGGCTGGGCGGTGTGTGTGTGTGTGTGTGTGTGTGTGTGTGTGTGTGTGTGTGAGTGAGTGTGTGTGTCTGTGTGTGTCTGTGTGTGTCTGTGTGTGTCTGCGTGGGCGGGAGGTTGCTGGGCAGAGGTGGCTGATGGTGTGTGCCAACACCAGAGGCAGAAACTATTATAATAAACCTCTGACTTTCAGGTCACTATAGGCAGTGAAAGTGCTCTGAAATTAGGAGTCTTTTTATTTTGACTCAATAGAAGTAGAAGATTTTTTAACATCACGTACTTTTGTCATTACGATAAATCACAGCAATTTGGAGAGTAAAACCTGCAACGTTGGAATGGAAATGATTATAGTTATTATTCATATTATGAAAGTAGTATCGTTCAAATTAGTATGGCATAAGTAATGTTTCTTGTGATATTTGCTATAGCAACCATAAATCTGTATTATCTCTTGATAATCCGGTTGCTCTCTGTACCTCTCTTTTTTTTTCTCACCACTTTGGCCAAAAAGTGTTGTGAGATAACTTTTCCTGCTGTACAATCAAAAAACAATGATTGACTGCAAAAAGACTAAGATTAATTATAGAATAAAAGCAGACATTTTCTAAAAACACAGGGAACATACATTTAGATTTTTACATGAACAGAAGCTACACTCCATAGCTAAATAAATGTGGAGGGAAAAAGCATAAAAGAATAAAAGAAGCCGGGATTATAAATAAGATCATTTTAAGGCAAGTTCTGCCTGTTTTATCCTTTTTTTTTTTCTTGAACTAATGAAAACTCGACACAGCAAAAGACATAATACATCATATTTAACGATTTGAAACTGTCTATAGAGGGACAAATTCATCCCCCTAATACTGTTGTCTCATTCCTGCAGAATAATTTAACATTCTGTGGCTGTCAAGTCATCATTCTGCATGATTGTAGAAAGGAGTTTTAGACATCTAATGATAGGGTGGTCAGTCAGTCCTTGACATTTTTTCTTTTTTCACTCTATTACTTCTATTGACAACTCTGCTAACAACACATTCTTTCACACAGACAAAAAACAAACTGCGTGTGCACTTAACTGCTTGCGGTCTTTGCATCACTGACCACAAGGCCACACATGATTACTTTTTCTCCAGAAAAATAGAAACCATTCATTTTCAATTTGTCCCTCCTCTGCAAAGCGAGTGAATCATTGCAGATAGCATTTTTCATGACAACTGATTGCTTTTCAGTATGGTGACAGGAAGGGATTATTGAAATCTACCAAAAAGAGAGTAAAAAAGTATATAGGAGAAATATGTAGTGCGAAAAGATAACCTTTGCTTTCAATGTAGAAAAAGTCCGTTTGAAAGGAGCAGTTTGAAACACACAAAAGTCTGACAGTGTAGATGAACTGTTCATGCGCTGAGCTGACCTCTTTGCAGTGACAGCAAGCTTCCTCTGGCAGAAAACAGACACAGAGTTTGGAGCTACTCCTCTGCCAGGCTCCAAGACGATGTCCCACAGCGTCGAGTCACTGGGTCGTGCTGCGCTGAACGATAGGCCGGATTTTACTGTTGCCCTGCAGAACATACAGACAGAAATAAACACACATAGTTCAGTCAGTGAAAAGATTGCATTTTTACTCACAACCAAACTAATACAATTTGGTAGATTTTGGATTATATACATGCTTGTTGAGAGATGTTAAGATCAAGACTAAAGAAAGTTTTGTTTGGGCACAAAGTGACTCAACCTTTTTATTTATTAGCAACAAAGGCTACATTACATTACACACTTACTCTGCAGTATCTGATGTGCAGCAGACATTAGGCTACAGAGAAATGTAATTTGGATTTGCGTTGAAAGCATTCTTCGTCTTACAAGAAAGCTCTAAATGGAAAGGGCCTATCATAGCTTCAAGAGCTTTTAGTGATCTCATTTATTAACCAGGCGGCTTGTGGTAAATAACTTGTCCAAAAGTAGTATTGTAAACAAGGCACTCAGCCTTCCAAGGAACATCTGTCAGATTGTTTCCAGGAGACAGACACCCTCTTTACTCTAAGAAAAGGCTTCATTTTTGGGGCCGATGCCGATATCAATATTAGGAAGAGAAAAATCTGATAACGATTTATCGGCCGATATCTTCTTAGATATATCTTAAATATACACTTTTTTTTGCATTATCCCTCAAATGCAGTCATCAAACACTTGTGGAAAAGATATAAAATGAAGAACAAGATGGTCACTGAACTTGAAAGTAAATGCTCCTGTACTTGCATCACCGCTTGACACTGTGATAATGCTTGTTGTAATCCATATAGGACACCCTGCTGGTGACAGCCAGAAAGAGAAATGCTAGTGTTATACAATGAAACTCAAATTAAATGCTATTTGACGATCGAGTAATATCGGCGCATATCTGAGATAAAATTAGTTGATACCGATAGTCACTTGATATGCATATATCGTCAGATATTATCGGTTAGCCGATTAATCAGTCGAGCTTTAGTCTAGACCTGGTATGTATGTACTTTTTAATGAGTCATTTAAATTGCGATTTGACTCTATTTATGGAAGTCCTTAGCAGAATTTAATTCATTTTATTTTACTCCACTTTCCTATGATAACAAGTCATTTCCAGTTGTTCGCTTTCATCAATTAATCTCATTATCTTGGGATAACAATGCTGGTTTTCCCGCGATAACCAGTTAACTTTTCAAGATATTGATGAAAATAACTGGTTATCGTAGGAAAACTAGCAGTGTTATCATGAGATAACAATGTAAATGAATAGAGATCTCGCAATTTTTTCATCGGTCAACCAAATAAAATGAATTGTACGGATGCATGTCTGCTATGGGCTCCATAAAATAAGTCAATTTTTTTTTTTCTGTATCATGGGCATAAGATGTTAGCTATGTCTTTAGACACATTTATTTATATATGCTATGTCATGGCTATAGTGTGGGAGAGGGTAGTAAAGGATTGACTGCATTTGTTTGCAGCAACATGTTCATCTGTGTACACACAGCATGCTATGTATGTGTTAGTTGTTCATTGTGCGCCTAACATGTTGATTAACTGACAGATTGATGTGTTGCTGGCTGCTGCAGACTGTGAATTGGCAGGGGTATTTATTCCCATTAGCCCTCAGGAGAACAGGGAATCAGTTAATCAGATGTCTGACTCAGACACACACATCACTCTGCCAGGAGGGATGGAAGGCTTATTATAAATGATGTGAATGAACCAGACAGTCCCCAAGGTCCAGCAATCTCCAATCCTTTGCAGATGCCCCTTTGCTGAATAACAAAACAAATATTGCCATATGGGTGATCAAAGGGCAGTTGCATGAGTCAGAGGACAAAAAGGTGATCCAAGGGTCACACAATACTCAAAAACTACTTAATAATGAACTCATAAACACAACTTCAAAGCTGGGGTGGGAACATTGGTTTTTCCAAAGTTGGTTAATGTCATCATGGCAGAAATTAAACAACATCTAATTAAACGATTAAACAACAAATGGCCAAGTGGGAATTTCACTCATGCTAACTCATGTAGCTTAGTTAGTTTCTTTAGTTTTAACAGCAGTTTTGCCAAAATTAATTTGAAAGTGCTCAACCTCTGTAAAGGTTCGACATTGGCTTTACATTGGATGTCCGAGTATTGTTGGGCAAGACAATGAACTGACATTGTATCTGCTGTTAACTTCAGTAATTAATGTTATCACATCACCTCTCCCATCAACATTCACATATACTGATACTCTGAAGGACATTTACACTTTCATTTAAATTATTCTGTTTCTGCCGTTGGCATTTCAGATTTAAAAGCTGTGTCTGTTTTCTGTTATCCAGCGGACCCTAGCCAATTCCTTTTTCAGTTTGATAGAGTTAGATTTAATCCATCTACCATTTACCCATTTACCTTCAAATATTCCAGGATTATTAATACACACAAAACACCCTCATAATCTGTTCAGACTAATAAAAGGACCCGTTTGCAGCATGCACATTACGTTCTAATTCACACCCTTACAAATACGGATAACCACTAGACTAATCAATAACCAATGAGACAGGGTCAAGGTCAGAAAGGTTAGGAGGACAAACCCAGCATTCAAGCATTTACCACACACAGTCAGCTCACAGTTCAATAAATGTCTGAAGACATTTATTGAACTGTGAGCTGACTGATGAAGACATATTTGTGCAAGGATCATTTTCTGGATCAAACCTTAGGGCCAAAGGCAAAAGAAAAAATCATTTTAAATTACCATTTAAATGAATAAATGAAACATTATGAATACAACCAGGGGTTGATTGCATACATGAAGCAGGCAGATTGAGAAAACTAATCAAAAAAATGAACTCATTTTGGAAATCAGTTGTTGTTTACGTCTTAATTTCTTTGATTTTAAAAGGAGAGGATTAGTTGTTTTGATCTGATCCCAGTGGGGAGCAAACTAACATATTATGTTTCAATTAAAGGCCATAGATTTGTATTTAGATTTCCTTAAAGTTTTACTTTATAACACGACATCCATTAACCCAGCTTCTTGCTGCTTGTCCAGCTGAGCATCTCAGTGACAGCAGGAGCTGATGACCATCCCTCCAGGGGTACAAAACCACTTCCACAGGCCCCCGTTGAGGGAGGAGGAGGAGCAGAAACTTAATACAAGGATCTTCCTGGATCACTGAGTTTCTCGCTCACAGGCAGACATCAGCCTCCCCACAGAGACACCTCATCTCAGCCACTTCTACCCTCGCTCTTTGTCTTTGTCACTCACTACCAACAGTTCATGACCACAGGTGGGGGCCGGAATGGATATCGACCTGTAAGCTGAACAACTCTCAACTGCCAGTTTACAAAAGTCAGTCAATCTCTTTGTTTTAGAAGATGGGAAAGTTGGAGAGCTGCCAACTCTGTTTGACTCTGTTTTTGTTGGCCTGTTGATTTGCTAAGCCATTCATGCGGAACAAAAACAGGGTCAGACTCTGTGGATGTGTTGTCTGTGGACATGGCTATTTGGGTTCTGAACTTTATCTAAATATTTCTTTGACATTCAACACTGTATTTCTGTTACTTTTCCTGTTCTTTTTGTTGCCTAATTTCATAAAATACATGTATATGTATGTATATATGTATCCGTTTGGGTTTTTGTTCTTTCATGTGCTAATGATCAAAAAATAAATATTTCAACCACAAATGTTGGGTTTGCATAGTGCCTGTGAGTTTAACAGGTGGGTATGATGTTCCGGTTAACCACAACCACCAACACACAGATGTACGTACTTAATCCTGGCAGTCCGCCAGATCATCCTTACCCTTAAGGGTTAACCTCTTCATTCATTTTCAATCAGGGCCTCAGATTATCTAGGCTAACCCTGCTGGCGTGGTCTCAATCTTGGGCCAAAGAGTGAAGTGGAGCAGGGATTTCTCCCAGGAGGAATCAATCACTTTGCCAAGCTCCTCAGACCTAGCCTTCACTTTGACTTAACCCCTGGACTCAGTCCGCACTTCTTGTCCAATCTCATTCTGGCATTCCGGCAGTGTAGGTCAGACTTACACAGAGAGAAATCACTGCCCTGACTGGAAGAAAATAGGAAGTAAAGTCAGTGTGTCAGAGTTTGGGGAATTTAAGGTGGAGAGCTTGCAAATCCTTCCAAATCTTCAAAACAACAAGGGAGGTAAAAGGGTTCAGCATCTCTCTACCAAAACGTAATCACAGACTTCCAACAATGTTAGTTGCATTCAGGTCACTGGGTCTGTTTGTTTGTCTGCATGCATGTGTCTGTGGATGTATTTGAAAGGGCACTGACACACAGCCACAGGTTAAGTACTGCATGTGCCCTACGGATTACAACTTTCTCTCTCTTCGTCTGCATCCCGCGGAGGATTACTGCCTGCAGTCGTATGTTGTTTGCAGCATGATATCACTAAATCATGGGATTAGAGAGAAATTTGTCTTGCATTTGAAACAAAACCATTAAGCTGCGTAAGGACCGGAAATTTCCACCTTACTGAGGTAGCTTAGCACTTTGATGTTCGAAAGTATTCTGATGAACACAATTTTATTTCACCCAGTGATGTGCATCAAACAGGCAGCTAGTGGAAACTGTGAAACAGATTGAAATGCGTGTTTTGATGTGGCAGAGCTGCTTTTATATTGAGTTCACTTCTCCCCAACAGAGTCAGGAGGATTTTAGTTATTTGTTTTCCTGCTCCATTAAATAGATGCATTATTTATGAAGTCAAATACCCAGAGAACCTCGTTGAAATGTTCGTGGGATGTTGAGATATGAAAACCGGTGAATCATTTGCCAATTATTTCCCTGTTTATGGAAGAGTGCTCTCCATAACTCCCCCACAACCGGAGAAGTTGGAGTAGACAGGATATAACGCGTCAGAAATTTATGAGGCCAGTGAAACTGGCAGACAACACAAGTCATGTCGGCGCTCAAGCATTTACTAAATGGCCTTCATGGCAAGCCCCATCAGTATTTAAATGCCTTAAGTAACCATTTAAATGCATGGAGCTTATCCTTCATAAAGATGCTCAAATATACCATGCATCACTCTGGTGCTACTTGGTTTCAGTCTTCATTCTTGCCTCACTTGTTTCAGAAACAATTAAATTTTATGTGACTCCATCTTAACTCCTGTCATCTATAAACTCAACCACATGGTAAATGGAAAATGGTCTTGGACTTGTAAAGCACTTTTCTATTCTTTTAACTATTCAAAGCTCTTTGACACTACATGTCCCATCCCCCCAACATCCACACACTGATGACAGAGGCTGCTGTACATAGACTGCCCAACTGACCATCATTACTATTCCATTCACATGCATTCACATGCTGGTGTCAACACTGCTGGGAGCAATTTGGGGTTCAGTGTATTGCCCAATTGGACACATCAAAATGTGACTTCAGGAGCTGGGGATCAACACCCTGACCTTCCCGTTGAGAGACGACCCACTCTGCCACTGAGCCACCCCACTTAACTAAATAGTTATATTATTACAGGGTTTATTTTTTTTTGGTATATTTAACTATGGCGAATTCAGTAAATATTTGCTTTATATAGTGTGTGGTATGGCTACATTGCTAACATATGTGTTTTATATTCCAACTAAACAGTTTTCCTAATCAGGATATTTCAAGATACGGTACAACTGGATTGCAAATCAGTCAAGTAATTTTAGGCATGTTCATGTTTTGACTTGGGAAAACAAGTGGAACTGTACCATGGAAGCCTTGATTAGCCACCAATGTTTAAGCCAAAACAATCAAATGACTTTGTCTAACATACTCATATGTTATTTTACAGGAACATATCTGTATTTGAGTTCCCTATGGGAGGAAATAGTTCAGCGTTTGGGCTAGATGGATAAAACATTCAAACCATTTTATGACTGTTTCTTGAAATGAAGCTAGAGCCAGCAATTGGTTATCTTAACTTACAAAAAAAATGAAAATACCCAAACATATAACCTGACGGTCATTAGGCAACAAATCTGTCTATCAGAACCTTTAACGCTCCCAATTTAGAATATTTTATCTTATTTGTTCAATCTGTTCAAAATAGAATCACGTGTACTTTTATTTTACCGGGAATTTTGTGATTAGCTATTTCTTGGTCTTAAATCTTCTATAACATGTATTGCACTATAATCTCAGCTGAGGTTCCAGGAAAGCTGAGCCAACACTTAAAGTTGATGTGAAAACACTGCATTGATTGGTCAAAGGAAATAACCACTTGCATAAGAGACACATAGCAAAATGCCACCCACTATTAGGTTGAATGGTTGAGCAGTCATTCTCTGGCAATTTTGCAAGAAGTGAAAGATCTAAGATACAAATACACATCTCACACATTCAAAGTGTATCAAAATATTACAAGTATTACAAACACAACAAACTAGAGGGTGTACTTTTATCTGTTCCAAGTCAAGCCAATACTGGGCTCTTTGTAAAAGCAACTTCATTGTCACTGGAGGCTCAAAAGGATTTTATTTAGTCACTGCCAAAGCTCAAGAAATAGCCCATTATGTAACCTCTTTTTAAACTTCAACTGCTTATTGAACTCGGCAAGACGAGAGCTTTTCCAGAAATATGAAACAATCTTTTATAGAAAAGCCCTAAAAGGAAAAATTAAGACCACTCACCTGAGACTGAAACTTTCCAATGCAGATGTGCTTGCCAGGAAGACATAGAAGGTTGCAACATCTGTCGTTTTCAGGGGCTTGGAAGAGGTCTGAATCACCACAGCGCCTCCAAGCCTCAGTCTAAGAAAGGTGGGGTTCCCTGGTGGAGTTCTGAGCAGATTGACACTTCCTATCCGCCTCATGGGTGTCCCTGATCCCCCAGAATCTCTTCCTCTTCCTACTCCCACACGTTGCAGACTATCCTGCGGGGTACATTGACCTGTCTGATCCCTCCGACTCTGGAAGTAAACCTCCACAAGGTTCCCCTGGAGCCCCTTATTTAGTTCATTTCTTCCTGCTTCCCTGCTCGAACTGCTTGATCGGCTGGCTGAGCTGAACCAGGTAGGCTCTGGCTTAAGCTGTGCCATACAGAATCCACCTGGAAGCACCAGGCATGCGCCACGAACTTCCCTTGTGTCCCAGAAGGCATAAGCTGTGACACAGTAAGCTCCATCCTTTACCTTGGCTCCAACACTTTTACTCCCAATATCTTCTCCAGATCCCGTCTTTTCTTGCCCAGAAGTAGTGTTACTAACTGTAGGCATGTGGAAGAGAATCTTGACAACAGGGGATGAAGAACGAACCTGACGGACCAATATAACTGGCAGAATCCTGCGCCCATTTAGGAGCTGGTCAGAAGGAATTGGGGCGTCTACAGTAAGGGGGCCAAATGAGGCGTTGACTGTTGGCTGTAGGAGCCCAGCACCTGGACTAGTAATGAGAAAAGTCTGGGTCCGAGCCTTCATGCTGGAGTTCCCTGATGTTTCTGGACCGTCCTGCCTGAGAAACACATGGTCTACATTGAGGACCTGAAAGTTGACAGCAGGAAAAACTGGAGATAGGCTGAAAGACGGCCCAGAGTCTTTAGGAATCTTCTGGCATTCACCAACTGGAAGGGTAGAATTTGCAAAGAGAGATTATTATTTTAAATCTATCATCACTTCTAAAATTCACCATTTCAGGATACAAACATGCTCGTAAGAAGAACCTTTACAAAATCCTTGTCGTTTTATATGATAAAATTTTTGAGGATGGTAGGAAGATGAAGGGTTGACTATGGGATCACAGCTGGAGAACAAAACTAAAGATTTTTGTAGATCCTTGATGGATCTAGACATTTTTGAGGGTCTGGGTTTGGTCATGTGAAGGAACTAAGGGTGGTACAAAGGGTAACAGCATGGCTTGTTGATACTCAAATAAGCTAATTTTCCCCACGTTATTCCTGCACCGGTAAGGGGGACAGTGAAATACACATGGTTTCAGGAATAGAAATGTAAGACAAACAAGAGGCAGGAGAGTTTTTCAACATAAATAAGTCAGAACAGTTCAAGGGTAGGCCTTTGAGTGTTTTCGATAATCAAGACTCAGGTTATGGATTGATATGCACTTCATTAGACTAAATGTATGTGGGAAAAATATAAAATTAAAAAATATGCTCTAAATAAGTTAGAAATCAAACATGTAGATCAATGTTTTTATGAACCGTCTTATGAATGTCACTTCATTTGACCTTTCGCAAAACACTAAAAACTGACAACCTCATACTCAACCAAAGTTATGGACCTCTAGGTATTGTAAGTTCCACATGTATCCTATTATATTCAGGCTTGTGGAAAAAGACAATGACACTTCTTCTAATAAATACAATGTAATGCCAGCACATGGGAGCAGTAATGGTATCACTCAGTCATGATTAAATGTCAGCCATTGCCAAATGGCTCTATTAAGTAAATTAATTACATTACATTACATTCTGTATTGTAATTTTCATCGTAAGCATTAAATCACTGATGTGTTAGGCATTGTTCTCTTATGTGGCACTCTCAGGTTTCCATTTTTCTACTTTCACATATCTATTTATATGGGTGTCTAGGCAATGGGAAATGGGAAATGTCTGAGTGGTTAAAAAAAAAAAAAGGCTCTCTCATAACTTCTGAGAAGACTGTTTGTCCCCACAGGATGCCGTATGTGACAGTTCCCACTCCCCCCTGCCAAAGACACTTGATAATTTGCCATCCCCCATGTTGAAGTGCTCCAGACTAATGTGTGAATGTGACTTTCCCTACCTCAAGAAAATAGCTAATCTAAAGGCAAACATAAGGAAAATCTCCTCCTCCAGAATCTCCTTTCCCCCCTGAAGATATTTGAAGTGATATATAATTCTCTCCTGATTTCCAAGCCATATATCTTGAATACATCTATATGTAAATCAATACTCTTTCTCAAGGCAAGGGAAATCTGTGAAAAATACAGATGTCAGAGTTGATATTAAAAATGTAGTATTCAGAAAAGCACACCGGAAAGTGTCTCGTATATTTCAGAGATGAAACTGATGCCGTAGGGAGTTCATATTAAGACAATAATAGAATAAGCTGCTACACCTCACTTTTGAATGATATGGGAAAATCTGTGTTTTTCATAAGATTGTTCAGTATTACTATCACGGTGGGATCAAAAATAAAACAAATATTGTAGTTTGCATATTAGCAATATAACTATATGTCTGTCTGTTGTTTGTCATGTTTCTGTTCAACCTTGCCTGTAAAACATCACCTCTTTATAATCATAGCCAACCACATTTCTCTCTCTGTTCTCTTGCCCAGACATCCCTTGATAGCCTGCAGCTGGCATCGACTTGACACCCATTGATCTCAGGACAGTTAACAGTGAGCTAGGGTTTCATCTGATTGGCCGAATGGTGTGAATGCATGAATGCATGGCACATATCTCCAGGGGTCGATCTGATACGTCAGCTGTTCACATGCGAGTGTGAAGGCATGGTTGTCTGTGTAAATAAACAGGGAATATTTAACTATTTCTGTGAGCAGTGAATCTTTCTACCTGAGTTTAGTGGACAGGCCCTAATCACTGATTCCCAAACTATATTACATCAACAACAGGATGAAAATATTGCCTGTGGGCTCCATTACAGCCAGTTGTTCCATATTATGATTTTTTGTTTTTACATCGCAATGATGAAAGGATAAGTAGTTATAATTGATGATAATTTAAATTGACTCTGCTAGGCAACATAGGGAGGGACATGATGTACACACAATGGATCTAAACTTAACATTGGCTAAACCCACTTGGATTTTAACTCTTCAGACTGAATTTAAGCAGAAGTCCAACTAACACTTGAAAGATAAGTGAATCTGGCACTGAAAACATGGTTGAGTGCACCTGGTCTATGCCACGAACAGGCAGATTTGTCTAAATGAAAGTTATAATCATTATTAAAAAAAACTTTGAGTAAGATAACTTTTACACTGGAAAAAAATGTTTACTTACGTCACTGGTATCATGCTGTGGGAAGTGGTGTTTGGACATTTTGGACTGGTATAGTGGTAGTTAAGGATCGTGTTTACTTAAATAAACGGACACTCCATGGTTTTAATGTCATCTCTGCTAATATGACACTTGTTTGTCAGGTATAGGACATAGGCCAAAGTAAAGTAATTTGAGTTTGGGAACAATCCACATGTAAAAATGTCTACCTTTACATGATAACTGGCTTCTAGCCAGTAAAACATCATTCCAAAATCTAGAAGGTTCAAATACAGCAGGATGAACAGAAAGAATAAGTTTAAAGTGTTGACTGAATATTTGAGCAGATAGTTTTGCTCGTGGTTCTACTTCATCAATGATGAGAGAGATTTCTGAAGACTTTTGGTTTCATCTTATGATGACACTTGTTGACTGTTTTACATAGCCTGTTCTGAGGCCCTATGGTACTGTGTTGAGGCTGTGTTGTTAAAAACATCTTAACTAGCTTCTGGCCCCTGCTCTGAGCCTGAAATTGGTCCACTGATGACGCACACTGTTGCACATCAGTGAGCATATCATTTATTGATCGTGGACTATTTGCTTAGTGGCTGGATTTCCTGATATATCTGGACTCCAGACATTAAAAGAAAAATGAACTATTTTAAATATTTAACAGCTATAAAATGAGTTGATCCTGACTGGCGCTGACTGGTTTCGCTGACACATCAAGCAGCACATCTGTGACTGCATTGGCAGATAAGGCTGCCATGCATAAGCTCGGATGACAGAGGAGATATCAGAGGCTGAACTCTATTACTTAGACATGCATTAAGAGAACAGCTGCACAGCTGAGCCCTGCACAAGCAGAGACACAGCAGTCCCTCATATATGTTCTATGAAAAATGCACAAAGTTATCATGTGCAGATTTAAACCAGAGCAATCTCAGAAAGTAGTCTTTGCATGATATCGGTATCACAGAAAGGACAGACAGCTTACTGTGACTTCATCGCTCCCCATGCAGGTTATCTTTAAACAAGCAGAGAAACAGCTGTGCAGCCTGAGCTGCAGGCCTCTTTAATCCCACAGATGAGGCTTACTGATGCACACAGGAGAGCATGCTGTCACTTTCATTCCAACTGAGGGACAATGAAATGGGCGAAGAGTAGAAAACCATAAAACCTTAAAAATATGAAAACACAAACCTACATTTTTACGCAGCCGGTTGCCTGAACACAAACATATTCTATATTTTTAAGGACTGCTAAATTCTTCAAAAGGATAAACAAAACAATTCTTGCACATTCTGTAATTTAAAAAGATGAAGGTGTGGGGTTTTTTTTCTATATTTATATGGCTTCTCCCATCTAATGTGTACAAAATCGGCATATATTTTTAATAGGCCTTCTTTAAGTTTTAGCTTCTGAAGGACTAAAGGAAAAAGCTGCAAACGCTCCCATTTTGTTCATGAGAAGAAGCAATAGTCAGAGGGCTCATCTTTTATAGGCTTCCCATCTTGTGTAGGACAGTGTTTACATCTCCAAAGCATCTTAGGGCGTTTAAAAGCTGCACATTTCATCTTGTAAACACAGCTGAAGCCTTCGAGCTACTTCCAACCCAGTTACTATTCATGTGATTTATTGAGTCCGCTCCAACACACATGGAACAATAAATAGATGCAATAAGAAAGGGGTTTTCTGCTCATTAAAATCACATGTCTCACCTTTAACAGCTGTCAGGACAGCCGCTGCGACCACTTGGAACAATGAACGGTGAGGAAAGCGGAGCATCATTTCAGCGAAGTTGCAACTTCTGGCCATTCAGAAGTGTCAGCGCAGCCGGTTGAAAGGAGGGAAGAAAGCGCTGGAAACTTATCGTTCCATCCTCTGATGTCCGGAAAAGTTACTTTCTCTGACTCAACAAGATCAAGTGCAATTTTTCAAAAGTAGTGCATTCCTTAAATGTCCGTCTTAATGCATGTGGCGCCGTTTTGTTTTGTTTTTTTAAAGCGCTGCTCGCCTTGTAGATGAGAGGGGATGTTTTCCTCCGGTGGCACGGCTCTATAGCTGGAGCATGAGCTCGGCTCTTCCCATGATAGAAATCAGTAAACATGTGCCGTCTGTCAGATTAGAGAGACCCACGTGGGTAATCGCCGGTAGAGGAATAGCTGCGAGGAAATTAAATGCACAGTAGGTCAGGGGGGATCAGCGGCTTCTCCACGAGACGTTTTATTGTTGAATTAACAAATTAAGAATATGATTCTGGGCTAAAGGCGAAGTAATCTGCAGGAGCAAATCATGATGATGTGTTCGATTAAACATGCTGTAAATAAGAACAATAAACAAATACTCCTCAAAAAGCCTCATTTCTTATATCTTTACTTTTCCGTGGGAGAGTTTTTAAAAGTTCCTCCATGAATGTCGCAGATGTTCATTTAAAATTCAGAGGGGCCTTTGTATTAATCTCAAAATTACTTAAGCCAGTTTTTTTTTTCGGGTTGAGAGAAAGTTTAGACTAGTTCTTGCCAGCTGTCAGCTGCATACTCTCAGTCCACAGCATCACACGGGATGCTATGTAGGATGGAGCAGATGGAGGAAGGCCCTTTATCCAAAGCCTCGTGGTGTTGTAGCACACTTTACATTTGGTGCAAAGGAATAAGCAAACTCTCGTACAAACTTTGCTTTGGTCTTGTTTGAGTCCTGCTAAAAGACAAAAAAAAGTCTATATATAGACTATAGAGGTTTAGTGCTCTGAGTAAAATAAAGGAGACTAGAAATATATATATTTCTTTCTGTGCTGCAGCAGGCCTCCAGGCCACATTTAACTTCTTAACACCAGGGTAATTATATTTTTTTCTTTTACTTTTGTGTGCCACTTTATCTGCCTTGACCTAAAATTCAATAGACTTGTTTCAATGAGGTACACAGAGCAACCGTGTGAGCTCAAAGCCTCAACTGAAACAGCTTTGTGTTTCATTGTAGCCAGGATGGTGATCATTTGGGCGGTTTTGTGACTTAGAGCAGCAGAAGGCGATCGTACTTTAAGCATCCATTCGCGGAAAGTGGCTCTACACCAATGTGTCTGGTTCTGCTCAGGGTTTTCTGCCTGTTAAATGGAAGCTTGTTGGATTTCTGCTGCTTATCTTTTTTTATCGAATGGGGCCTGAGATAAGTTTTTGTTTGATCTGGTCTGGTGCTCAATAACTTAACATTGATTGATTTTTTTTTGAGTGATTGCTAGGCACTCTTCATCCTCTATGATTCTGCATCAAGATGTAAGGCCAAGTGCTGAGATCAGATTTATGTGTAAAAAAAAAAAAACTAGTTGGTTTAATGAATTTGGTGGGAGAAGGTCTTTCTTCTCCACTCTTCATCTGCTCCCTAAACCTGTTCTCTGAAACTAATGGGCACAGCCAGTCTTCTAACTGAACTTGCTGCCTCAGTGGGGGTTTTATTGAAGGGTGGCACCACTGCCAAGGTGACGGCATTAAGCATGAAGGCATCATTTGCAAATAAAATAAAAATATTCTCCTGACAGCAGGGGCTGATTAGAATAAATATGTGCCTTAGGGAGACATTTAAGGATCTCCAAATGCCAATAAAACTTTGAAGAACTAATTGAGTCCCTGGCTTACCTCAGGAGATGAACTTACTGTACACGATGCTGCAGTGTTCACAGTGCAGGGTTAAATAAGGCTCTGCATGGCATGTTGAAGCTGCTGAGCTTTGATTTAAGCGTTTCATCTGTGGTTTTGGCTTCATGTGATTATTAATGCACACAGTGGCAGAGGCCAGGGAGACTATCGAGTCTGGGAACGTCTCCAGTTTTCAGCTGTTGTTCCAGACATGCAACCTACTGCTTGAGCTATTAGAGATGACAGAGAGGTCGTCCCATGCTCCATGTGGGACTCTCCAGTGCCGGATATTAAGCTTCTGCCAGGTGGCTCAAGGTTTATGGAGGTTATTTGATGTGGGGCAACATCGGTCAAGACCTAAATCCCTGTGGATGTGTTCATTTTGTGAAACAGGAAGCTGTTGCCTAATTTAGGTTGAATCCGACAAATAGCAGGAGTGACTTCTGTACAGAGCTTTGGGTAATTAGGGAAATAGACCGTTGGCCCTTTTTATTATCTTTTTGTCACGATGTTGTGACTCATTAGATGTCAGTCAGTTGGTCAGTTTGTCCTCTACTTTCGGCAGACTGAAAAATGTCTACAACTCTTAATTGGATGGCCATAACATCTGGCTCAAATGTTCTTTTCAGGCTGTATTTAATTAACCTCTGTGAGTCCTTCACTTCTCATCACACCCTCTCATCATTTCAAAGTTTCAATTTGTCTGAAAGGTTGCTTTTTGAATACCTCCATATTCCTTTAAGATACATTACATTACTGTAATATTTTAGTGTCCTTATTTTTTGTTGTTTCTAGTTTGTGTAAAATCTGCATGTTTGTAATGTTTTGGTGAGTATGTCCGCATGCTGCTGTCTAGATAAAATCCCATCTACACTGAAGTGCAGCAGGGTGCTGGCATAGCTGTAGATTCTTAGTCTCTTTTGATTGGCTCTTTGTTTTAGGTTTTACATGATGCATCAAGATGATACACTTGCATTGATTTACCTCATATATTGATGAATGTCCTATCAAAACATGGAAATGGAGAATAGAATCGAGACACAACTTTAAAAAATGGGCTACTAACAGAGCTCAACCTGCAGCCCCTTAAACAGTGTTTTTTTTAACTGTGTATCTCTCTTTTATCTTTTTCATGCATCAAAACATGAAGACACAGATGATTCAAACTGTGAGTTGAAATAAGAATAATGAATAAACCAAAAAAAAAACAATTACAATCCTAATGTGCTCTATAGGGAGATAACTTCAATATTAGAAAGTAGAATTAAAGAAACAAAAAAGGAAAACTGAATCAAGGGGTGTGGCCTGGTAGTGCAGTTGTTAGCACTGTCGCCCACAGCAAGAATGTTTTTCATCTTTTGGCCGACTGGGGCTTTTTTCTGTGCAGTCGCCATGTGTCTGTGTGGGTTCTCTATGGGTGACATCCATGTTTACTTAACTGGTACCCTGCCTCTCATCAAATTAGAATTGGCTCCAACATATGACCCTGGGGTCATGGGATAAGCAGTGAATGGATGGATGAATCAGGGGTCACATATTACATAATGGTATTATATATGAACAAATCTGGACAGATACAAAAGTTCACCTGAAAAACGCCTGACCCCGGGTCACCATATGATTAGTGGATCTATTAACCTTTCCTGACAGTAATCCAGCTCAGTGATGGATACTGAACTACAGCTATGCCCCATCTTAATAATCCTATTGACTTAATTTCAATCAATCCATCAAACAAGGATTAGATCCACTCAGCACCGGTTCATCCTGTTGACACTGAAATCTACTGGCAGAGGATCACATGGATAGAATAATATTGAAAAGGTGATTCAGTAATACTGAAGGTAACTGGAGCCTTAAGCATTTATAAAGTCCTCTGAGAGAAAATCATTGCAAACTGCTTCTGAATCCTCCTCTCTGAGCTCAGGGGAGTGCTCTCGTCCAGTCTGTGGACATAAAGCTGCCGTTATACTGGTGTAATAACACTTAGCGCTACACCCTGCCAGGAGGCAGCCAGCCAGGCAGCCAGTCTATTCAACGCTTGTGTTTTCTGCTGCTCTGAGGGCTCCTGCAGCCCAGCTTGTGCCCTGTGGACATCTCCCCCCGTGGAAGCGGTGTGAGCTGAAGATGAATCACCTCAGAGAGGCCTGTGCCCTGCCTGCTTCCCTTTTGGCTGACGTCAGGGAACATTCTCCCACTGATGACAAATGAATGCTCTTCTCCGGGCATGACTGCCATAAACATCAGATTTCCCTCCCTGCAGGACGCCTCGGATGAGCTACCGGCCAGGTGGTATTTCCTCCCACAGACAGCCTGTCTTCAGAGCTCTGTGATGGACAGGTGAATAGCTCGCCTCAAGCCACCTGCTAGGAAATGTATTCATGTTGGAGTGGATGGACACACAGCTGAATTAGTCAGAGTTATCCAACTTTTTGGTTAAGAATATTTCTTCCCTGTGCTGAAAAAGGTATTAGGTGTAAACTAAGTCTTCACAGCACATTTTTACACCACAGCTAATACCACTTCTATGAATGTTTGTATAGAAAAGATTAATATGAGTGCGTCTCCAAGAATCCCCAAGGACCCAAAAGGCTGCGGGTTCGTTGTGTGCAATTAGCTCTGTCTAATTAGCTGCTAAGCCATTTTTCTTTTGGTGATTAAGTCAACGACATCGTTGCCCTTAATGTTTCTGCCGACCCCCTCACTGTGCTGCTTTGCATTAATGAGGGAGAGTTGTGTGGTGAAATGCTACCAGGGTGTTTTCTTCAATAAAGTTAACATTAAACTTTTGTCCATGGGATGGATACAGTTTGCTGTTTAAATGAATGTTTACGAGTCAACTTTTAATGCCCTCAGCAAATCTTTTTTTTTTTTTTTACCTTGCAATCATAAGCTAATTCATAAATTAAATTGTCTACACAAGTATTGCAATTTCTACTTGCTTGAGATATTACGAAGAGAAGTATTCACAGTGTACTCCTCTCCTCCTACTGAGGGAGAAAGTGAAAAAGGATTATCTGGGTGTGTCATCGCTTACCTCAGATATGTTAACAACACAGAGACTCAACATGAGCTAAAATCAGTGCTGCATCACCCTATACACAGAAACCACACTGTGCCTGTAGGCCTATGAGGGGCCTTAAAATTTTTATTTATTTTTTCCTACTCATTATGGTGGAGTCTATATTCTATAATTATTGTGGTAATGAACATTCAGCACTCCCCACACATAGACTTGACCTTTGCCACCCCAGTGTAAATGGATGGTCACCTGAGTGAGTATATTTTTAAGGAGCTCCGCATCAATCACGAAAGAGTAAAAAGCTGTTTGTAAATCATTTCCCAGGGGTTGTAAATCCATGCGTACAGTATGGTTTATAATCCTTGCAGATTCGTTAACTGTACGCAAAGATTTACAACGTGCTG